AAAATATTATGTAAAACTTCAATTAATAATAGCAAACCATCTTATCGAATCATCGTCTTTAATATCCTTTTTATGTGAAAATATAAATCATATAATTACAATAATATATTGCAAGAATTTTAATAAAACCATAAATGACGCTAGTGTAATATTTAATCTACTCGCCGAAATCATCGTTTTTTCGCACTGACAATTCAACTACCTTCTTAGAAGGTCGCTTCCCTTCCTTTCAAATTGTCGCTATTAAAAAAGATCCTGATTCGTATCATCGGGATTTTCAAGTGGTCCATCCGAGACGAACGCTTCGTGCGAGGAATTAATGTACAAGGTGTGTCGTGCGGATTAGTCTCATTATTATTCCCCCGAGCGGGACGACTGCGCTTCAGGGTGGCAAAAAAAAAAAGGAAAAAAATACGTCTCGGAAGATTAACGAGCGAGCAGCCCTTATGAACCATCTCGACGCCTCGAAAAACCGCAAGAGAGACGAAGAGAAAGAGAGACGGATAGTGAGAGATGGAAAAGGAGAAAGAAAGATGGATTGCGAGGAGGAATTTGATATCGCAATTAAACAGTCCGCCAACCTTACAAATTGGAGGTTGAATTTTTTTTCTACTTTAGGACCATCGTCAGGCGTTGTTGCAGCCCTTAAAACATCGCGAACGGAGGGGAGTGCGGAGAGAGCGAGTGCTTTCGCGGTACGGAAAAAAAATCCATAGGGGTCCCTCTGCACCCATCTCTCTCGCACTGCAGCATCCAGTCCGAAAAAAAAGAGGGTGAAGCTAAAGCGAGTTGTGCGTGGCGTCAGGGGATGAGCGGAGGGGAAACTTACAAGGGTGGTGCTGATGGTGGTGGCGGTCGTGCTAAAGGCAAAACAAAAGCTGGGCGACATTCTCGGACGCCTTTGGAAACATGGCCGCTTGGAAAGAAACGCCAAAAGAAATCGCGATTGTTAAATTATCGCTGACTATGAGATCGACAATTTTTCATTTTGATCTCATTTATAATTAATAGAACAAAGGAGTAGTTTGTAATTAAAATTATATTACAAGATTATATATAGATACATAGATTAAAAATTAATGGAAAAAAATTTTAATTTTTTGTGAAATATGTAATAATCTGTATATGTGCGTGACAATCTTTCTCTCAAAGAAATGATTGATTACTGATAGCTTTGCGAATGCGTTCCAATTATTTCTGTTTTTTTCAGAATATCTCAGGGTTATAATTTAATTTTCATTATAGTAAAATACGTTCTTTTAATTCAGATTATATCTACAAAAAAATTACACAACAAATTTTTAATACAAATTTGTTTTTCGTGAAGAAACTTGTATATAATATTAGAAACATGTTATTTAATAACTTAATCATAAATGTTTGTTACTTAATTTATAAAAACGAACATAATTTATGGTGATGATAAATCTAGATAGAATATGAACCACATGAATAGCCAAGAAAAATCCATCCAAAAATATTATGCTGGTTCACGTCAGTTCAATACTGCGAGATCCTACAAAATTAGAAACTGTCTTAATCAAACTTTGCTGCAGGCCGATAATTAAAAATTTATCTTCGCTATGGCTTGCATTTATAATGGAGAAAAAAATCCATAGAGAGCGACCGCGCCCATCATATATAATAGATGGTCTCCCCTTCTCGGTCAACCTTCTCATCTCATCTCGCCAGTTCGACCAACCTCCACCTTCTGCGTCTATCCCTCCAGCTTCCCCCGAACACCCTCAGACTTCAACCCGCTTTCAATCAATATTTAAAGAATTGCGCCTTAATAACCATCGTGGCGTCACGTAATGGCGGGCTTCAGCTTTAATGCGTCATCTCTTATAAAGATCACGAATCTTTCTGCCATTTTCTTCGTGAAACTTTACTCTTATGAATTATCAACTGATAGTGCAACAGTTTATAATATTATTAACCCTTGATAATATTTTATTAATTATAGATAAAATAGTTTTTATATAAAAATATATGTTTTTTTCTCGTCTGTAATCTAGGTAGATATCATACACGAAATTTACTTATCAATTTTAAATTGTACGATTTCAAAAACACGTATTTTTTATTATAAATAAGAGTTACAAGTAGAAAAAAAATAAAAGATATCTCTTCTGTATGTTTAGTTTATAGTTATGTTCTTTTTTGTACGCTTCTGAAAATACGACTCTTTTTAGATAAATAATATATTTAATTATCATATATTTCCAGATCTAATTGTAAGATTTACAATTTTATAGAATATAAAAAATTTTCTAAAGTTCATAATAATAATGATTTTGTCCAAATAAAGCATCCTATATCAATTATTTATTTTTATATACATGAAAAAGATAATTTTATATTAGAATTTTTCTGCAGTATTTTCATCATTTGATTAACGTTGTTAAAATATATTAAAAAAGAATAATGCGCGTGCAATTTTATACAAACAAAAGTCAATGGTATGAACATATATTGTGTTGATCTTTAGATCTGTAGATCTTTAGAAAACTAAATCCAAATAACAAAGTGAACAAACACAAGTAACTAATTTGCCTCAAAATTCAATCTTTTTTTGATGCAAAGATGATTGATCTATACCATTATTTAGATTTAACAAATCAAACCAAGAATATTACAAATTACTTACATACATTTATATGCATGTACACTCATATACATATTTCTATAAGCAATAATGCAATAAACATTTAGAAAGAATAAATGTTAATTTAAAAATAGTAAGATGAAAACAAGACATATATGATATAGACGAAATAGCAAAAAAGCTAAAGATTATCTTTTATTTATATCCTTTAATTAAAAAAAAAGAACAAATTATCCATTTTTTATTCGCTCTTGTTTATTTAATCTGGATTAGGAAGTTGTTATAAATCAATAACATGTGCAAGAAGGAAGTTTCTCGTGAAAATAATCGTACATGATTATAGCATATTCAAACATACGTATTTGCTCGAAGGAAGTGATTCATCGAAATAATAAACTCTATTAAAATAATTACAGTGTTTGTGCGTTTCAGGGGATTTTAATTTAATTCAAGTACAATCTCTCGCGCACGTGCGCGCATGTAATAAGTGCAATAATAATATTCCTCGTGTTAATTGACATTGAATAACATTACAAAATGAAGCATATAATGAATAATACGTAAAAATAACTAAATATTGTTTGTCTCATTTTTGTTTTTCCCTTAAAAATTACCAAGGCAATAAGTCAGGGCACTTGTTGATGAAGCGCCAATGTAACAATGTAATACTTGTGGATATCGATAATACGTCATAACAATCTGTATATACAATATTTGAGTGTGTCTTGAGGTTCACTACTGATAAACATTTCACAGTAAATTTTTACATAAACGTGTGATCTTCGGTTACATGTACTTTCACACAAGATTCCACATTATGGTCGGCAAGCAGTCTTCAAGGTATTAATCTCTAAAACGCGCAAGAAGATGATTTGTGCTAAAGTCAGTTCGAAAACACCTGTAAGATTTTTCCTCATATTTACGTCATATGTAAATGTAAAAACCGGTCCTAAATATCACAAATATTTCTTTTTTAATATGACAGTAAAAAATTGTAATATCTAAGGATTGTTTTGCTAATGTGGTGTTTGTTATCAAATTCTACAAAATTTTTTAAATCCGTATAAAAAACTAAACGAAACTTGAAGTAAGAAAAAATATTTCAGAATTTATAATAAATATTATTTGAAATTTTATAATAAATTAATTAAAAATATATATTAGAAAAATGTGAGTCAAAAATTTTGATGCAAAAATTTATAAAATCAATGTTATACGCTCTGAAAAATTGTATCGACTAGAAAGACATAGTATGAAAAATTATCGCGACTATTACATTTGCACATAGATAGATTTTTCTGCATTAATACGTAAACAATGACGTAATACCGCTGAGATATATTGCGGTTCGTGCGATTGGCTAGTTATTATAAATAGAACTTTTGTAGTATCATTTACAATGAGAATATTAATAATAATACAATCATAGTACGTAATAATAATAATAATAATAATAATAAATCACATCTTTGACGTTCTTGTAGTTTTACTATATACTAAAAGCATCTTTGGTTTTTTAATCTTCAATCGTGTGTAACAACAAAAAAGTTACAAAATGATTTTAAATTTTAATAAACCAGATCACGCACAATAATGTTTGATACTTTCCAAATATTGAATTATCAATAAAATACGATTATCGATTATGCATATTCAGTATCCGATAGTATTCGACTTTGCAATTCACAATCTCACAATCCACCCTCTCGCCCGTCATTCAACAAAGAAAACAAGAGCTAAAAATCTCCATAATATCCATAACGTGATTAAAGCTCTCTTCGTAACACCTTCAAAAGTCCATCGGTATCTTAAATACACTATGATATGCTCTAATTAACTTTTAATCCCGTTCGGCCGGAAATCGTGTCAATAGATAACTTTGGTTGGAACACTGTACCAGAGAAAATCTTACTACGGGGAACAATCTGTAGCCATACAAATCTATTGTAGCTTCTATTTAACTTCTCTTGTCGTTGGAAGATGTAAACGCCACGAACTAAAGAAGGACTCGCTATTGAAAAAATATTAATGCTTAAAAAATAATAAAAAAAAATGATAGAATAATCCGCGGAAAATACGTGTCGCGATTTGACAATAATCATTTCGTGACGTAATAATAATATCAGCAATAATGGTATATTCTCTCAAACGAATCGTAAGAAAATAAGAGGAAACGCGCAATGACCGTTTTATTAAAATCGATCGTTATCGTGTCACTTAACTTGATTCTTCGAAGACTTCATAAATCTCGGCAGTTTTCGGGCAGCTTTCGACTTTTAATTTTGAGGATACGCGTGTGGTCCGCTATGTCAGACGCGTGTTAGAAGGAAGCCCGACACAGGTCGCACTTTACGCGCGCGAAGTGAAGGATTCTTCTTGGACCTATTCGCGGAGCTACAAAGACGATCATTCGAAGCGAATGCCACTTCTTCTAGAAGTGTCTACAAGGAAGTGCGGCCGGCGATCTCAGCTTCTGATGCAGCAACCGCGTTGCTTCGGTAATCATGCAGCGAGTAAGTTCTTTATGTTCTTCGGCGTGTTCTCCTCATTCAAGTGCTTCGTGGTATAGCGAAGAGCATTCAAAAGGCCCTCGCTCTTGCATGGCGGCTGATCCTTTAATAGCTTCACACAGCCTTTGACCTGTTAGATTTGAATTACATGTAAAGCCAATTATTAAAAAAGTATAGGCAAAATGAGATTCTTATCTTCAAAAATCTTCTTTCTAACAAATATTTTTGTCGAATCTTTAAAAATATTTGTTCCTTAGTATATATGTTAATCCGAATACTATCAATAATTTCGTAGAAGTATTATACATATAGAAAATTATTTATATAAAAGACATAGATAAAGTATAGATAAAGAAAAATTGAATTAAAATTGTCGATTAAAAACTTTCTTTTTTAAATATTGCGCTAAAAGTTCAAAAGTTTTTCTGTACTCACATCCACGTTTGAACCCTTTACAAAGGCACCCTGGGGATGTACATGATCATAAAGAATTACCAAGCCCACCATAACCCTTAGGACAAAAAGTTGAGTCTCCTCTCGTTGGAATTGCGCCAGCAAATTCCTGGTACAAGATATTTCCTAAATTAGCTTCGCGAAGAAATTCCTACTCTCTTGCGATAAAGCTTTCTTTGCATACCGATAGAAATAGTACTTACGGATTTTCCAACATTCGAAGACACACTTTTGCCATTGTGCCAAGTGTTTCTGTAATATTTTCCCTTGCTATATCTTCGTTCTAAAAATTACAAAAACAGTTTAAGTAATAAATACATCGTTGGAGATACATGACGGTTTATCCATTTTAAATTGAGAAATACATATAATGAACATCTATTGGAAAGCTCGGCCTTAAAGGGCATATATCATGAAATACATATTTGTACAAATTGGAAATGCTATTTGCAAATAATGAGTTATTACTTTGTTATTGATTTTAATTAAAAGCTTGCATATACATCGGACTTGTGTACACATCCGTCATGCCACGTTTATTTGTCTGATTGATGCAATCTATATAGCGCTCGGGTAATTTAAATGGCCAGGATACCTGTCAATTTTCCAGTTCAGCAGAGCCATTATTATCGTCGACAATTTTTTTGTGTCCGTCTTACCATTACATCGCATGTCGATCACGTAACGCGGTTATTTGTCATCGCAATCAATACAAATGAAAGCTCGCGACTCATTATAACGGTTCATTGTTGAGAGATATTTCCGTAAGATAATTAATAAAAAAAGCTTGCAAAAAAGTTTTGAATGTAATACATAGAATTTAAAATGTCGCTATATTTTCTACTTTACAATATAAAGAGACATAAATGTAATATCTAGTATTTATCAAAATCTTTAGAATTTTGTATTTCTTTATATGTATGTAATTATTAATATAAAATCCTTTTCAAAAATAATATATGATAAATAATATGCATAATTTTTTAAAACACGATAATGTATTAAAGTCATTTAATCGAAATAAAACGAATAATTTTCGGATGCTTCAAATTTGAAATTTGAAATGAAACAGAATTTTCATTCGGTTGAGAATGATTAAGGGCTAAGAGGGCCGAGAAACCGCTTGGATAACCGCAGAATTTCATCTAATTGCCATCAGTTAGCATCTGGCCGGATCAATAATTGTCCGGGCAACAATGGGAGGTCTCACGGACGGGAACAATGTAGAGAGGCGATACCACTTACGTCCATCAAGAAAGTAATGGTCGCGTGACTCAGAACTCGAAGCATGGGTGTCGCGTGGGCGTAAAACAAGGACATTCGGTTGGCAAGTTCGTTCCCGACAACTAGATCCTTTTCGGCATTGTCCTGATGCGCCAAGGACGCCCTCGTCAGTGTCCTTCGATAGTAGCTGAAGTCATTCTGAATTGCCGGCGTTTTCATTTTGTGCTCATCGAACTTCAATACGAATTCCAATATTTCCGCCAATTGTTTGACTAAAGCCTGTTGCGTTTCTAGATGTTGCGTCGGTGAAAGATTACCCGAGCATAATTGTCCCAGAATTTTCGGTACAACCCTTTCTATATGTAATATGAATAAACGAATAAAAATTATTATGAAACTTAATATTAAAATTTATTTATGCAACGTGTTAAAGATGTTATTTGCAATTATTTTAAGTAAATTATATGCAATAATTAATTGATACTAATACAATATTACATAATCCCAAATAAATAAACACCAATAAGAATTGGTAATTATCACATATTGTTTATGTTTATTATTATTATATACAATTATAATAAGAGACCAATATAAATAGCCAATCAACAATTTGAATTATGTAAAATTATTAAGAATATAACTCTTTTTAATTTTTACTGACGTAACAAAAAATAATTACTTAATATAAAAATGCGAAGCCTGCACTTTCAATTAAGACTTTTCTGCACGGCTTTGCTTGAAGAGAAATGTTCGCTAAATTAAATATCGATGTTTCATTAAATTGGATATGAACATCAATATTTTAAAATGTTGTTTTCCACGGGTATTATCGAAAACCACCAATATTTAATATAATTAAAAGTTTATGCCACAAATATGGCTAAAAGCATTCTGCGGCAAGTCGAAGTTTTCTCGATATTCGAATCGATATCTAGCTTCTGAGAGGCAAAGTATAATGCTATTTATATAAAAAAAATTGTTATCGTTAATGTGATTAATGAAGCATACCAAGCTCTAAGGAAAACTCGTAGAATCGTTTGAGTTTTGCGACGAGAGGTGCCACGGTCAGATACGCTTTTCGTTGACATTCCTCCGTGGGTACCGAAATTGCCTCTCTGATTTCTTTCCCAGCTCCCTTGTAACACTGTATTTCCTCCAAAATGGATTCCGAATTTTTCAGCACTCTTTGCACCGCCTCGAACGTCTCACGTTCGATATCCGATGGTTGTGCATCTGGAATAGGCAAATGGGACAGATCGGTAATTATTTAATAATATGTTTTTTATATGTTTTATTACCATATAATTTTTATTACAACTCGCTATTATAAAGAATATATTTGTCTTGTCATTAGAAAAATTATATATGTTATTTCAATTATATGTCATTATAAAATAATATATGTCATTATAAAATAATTTTAATAAAATATTTTATTAAAAGTATATAAACATGGAATTAGAAAACATTATCATACACGTAAGATGCATTAAAAGATTTTAGATTAAAATTAAAACTCTTTGCGAAAAATAACTTATACAATAATAATGTACTACTCACTTTCGAAATCTAAAAAGACGTCGTATTTCTGAGGAGTGCAACAGGTAGACTCATCTCGAGCCAAAAGGCTTAAAAGCTTGCCCATCGTAAGTGCACAGCTTCTTTCGACGAAAGTCACTTTACAACGTGAAAGGCATCTGCAAGACAATTTGAATTACACGATGTGAGTTTTATTAGAATAACAAACAGTATAATTTATTCATTTACTCGTATAAACTTATGCGATATAACATTATTCAGGAATGTCTTTTTTAAAATAATAGTTGTTTTGATGAATTTAAAGATAGATTTGTTATTATTAGTTATATCATTAAAAACAAATGTTCGCGCGCACGTATGAAGTAAACTAACATATAATAAAATCTTATTATTCGCTATTTACATTGCACGACATTGATCGATATTGTTTCATTAAATATGTTTTTATCCGGAATTCTGAATCGATATTTATCAATTTGTTCTAGATTACAAAAAATAATTTGTATTTTATATTTAAAATTGTCTATATAAAAAGAAGTCGAATCAAAATATATTAGAGGCATCGAAATTAAACTCGGGAATTCTAAAATAATCCACATACTGAAGCAATTGATACGCGATGCGTAGACTAGAATATTTTTCTTGCTAAAGCGATGGAGAGAGCTCACATGATTACACTTTGCAGAATACTTCGCACAATACTCAAAAGATTAATCGGCGACGAATATGAAGGGTGAATAGTTTATAATTGAATTTCTGTCGACTCGCTTCACCCGACGAGTGGTAACTTGTCAGGTACGAGACTACATTGAAATTTCAGGCTGCAGTTCGAGCATATATATTCACTTGTGTGTGTATATATATATATATATGTATATATATATCGAACCATTAATTCCGGATAGGCGACACACGCACACGTCGGGATTAACGCGTATCCCCATCGATACCGCGGAATAAATGAATTCCGCGAACTCGTCGGCGGGGAGATGAATCTCGTTAATCAGTTTCGGCGAACGAAACGATTCTCCCTCGCCGAGCTGCCCTCACCTGAAGCGTTCGCGAAGGGGTTCCATTTGGTTGTCCGCGTTGACGAGGACGAGCCGACGATGACTCACGTGGGAGCGTCGTGTTTTATGCCGCGCGGACTCAACGAGAGAGTATCACGTCCGGGAGGACCGAGCACGTCCTTGTCACTTGCGCACGAGAGAACCCACGATCGGCTTTGGGGTTTCTAAAATTGCAAACGGCGAGATTCCACCGTACCGCCATACCGGCCGCGTTATTTTCGGCCCGAAAGCACATTTCGCGCTCGTCATCTCGTCGCATCGTCACTCGCCGAGCCTCCTGATTTCTATCGGCGGAAATAATTACGTACTATGCAAAAATCGGGCCGCTGAAGTTCTCGAGTCACACGGGCACGGGTTTAATAGTTTTCGCATTTAATAGTTTGAATTACATCAATGAATGTTGCAGCCGAGATTGACGAAACGAGCGATTAAAATATAAAATTCAAGAAATTCTTCGATCAGTGACAAATTTGATTTGTCCCATTTTATTTGAATTTCCATTCGAGGATTAATATTAAAAGTTTATAAGAGCTTCTTGGCTTCTGATGAAAAATTCTTTACCATCGGAGTAATCGATAAAGTGGACGATTTAAAAGTCGATTAGGTATTATGATGTATAATTGTCTTACAAATACATATATATTTCTAAAAAGAGACTTCATATTCAATAATGAATAGTTAATAAAAATACCATGTAGAATTGTTATAATAAGATCTGATTATTGTATGTTTAACGATGTCAATTAATAATTTCAATAACTGGCAGGCGATATATCAATGTGCAACCTAAATAGTCATACCGAGCTGCAATGTAAAATAAATATTTGCGTTTGACATTCCTCTGGCGCTCTCCAGTGCGGAACGTTTGAAACAAGAACGTGTATCTGTTACGATATTCGCTTGTACGTAATCATTTATGTTTCTTTTTATTCTACGAGTTGATTTTTCCAGCGTATGTTTTCGATAAATATTTAAATTTGAAGAATATTGACGAACCAATTTATATTATACTGCAATTGCGAAAGAGTAATCTAATCGTCATTGGTAAGAAAATGCGCTCTTCTCAGAAAATATAAATAGAAAATTTTTATAATAAATAAAAGAATGCGATAAAAGCAACAAATTATTTGTATCGAAAGCCACTCTTAGCGATTGAAAGAAATAGCGTTGCCATGAAATTTCAAAGCCTTAGTGCACTGCCATTAAAAACGTATAAATGCACTTGCCGCGTTGTTCATGAATTGTTTCATGAATTGTTAACATGAGTTCCACGATATGTCCTCACCTACTCACGCTAGTATCCACAGCAAGAGTGCTATGTGTAGTTTCATAGATTCCAACCTAACATGGTGTTCTCATACCATTGCGTTAAACACAACAAAACCAGCATTTCATCCAAAACGCTTTTCTCAACATTCGATTTAAACTCCCACGTATTCGCGGAGGAGTAGAGTTCAGAGAACTTGCACACCGCAAAACTTCAAGTATCTTTCCGATCGACTGACGAAGCAATGAAGTTATGGCACACATATAACTTGTACAGATTATAATTACGATATCATAGAAATTTTGACTTCTACACCTCAGTACTCTTTTATTTCTATTAATAAATAATTATAACATCGATGACAATATAATTAACAAAATTATTTTCTAAAAGATTGGCAAACAAATTACATTAGAGGTTCTCCCTTTACTACATTAACTACTATTTTTTTTTTCTTATATTTTGCGTATCTTTTTAAAGAATTTGAATTGAATTTGAAGATATAGTGTAATTCTAATTAAAATTAATCAACGTAAACAAATTCAGTTAGGGACTAATGTCGCTGGATCAAATGATATTTACAGTGTCACAGATTGGCGAGATTGTTGCGATGTTTGCCATCTACTTTCGCACGGAATAGCAAGCTCGCCATCGGGAACTTGAGTCGGAGGGTCGGATCCTGCAGCAGGCTTTTTACGAGGACGCGTCCACGAGAATCCAAAGTGGCGTTAATCGCGTGACGTTTGACGGGCTCACCGTCGCGGAATCGCGGCGTAATCGGCGCCGACCGTGCGAACACATGACGGCGACAGGTGCACGCCGAACGGGACGCCGGTGGGAGCGTCACGGGGTCAACGAGCACGCGAGATGGGTGCAACAACTGTCATCCGGTGGCCGGCCATGTTGTAGGTCGGGGGGGTTGATCGTGCTAGGCGCGCGAGTCCTTCCCTTATTTGGTAAAACGGCGGCGGCGGCGGCGGCGGCGGCGGCGGCACGCTCGCGCGCGCGGAAAATCGATCGGGGGGTTGCTTCGCGGTATAGATGGCGAGATGGCGCTTGAACGGAGGGGGCAGAGAGTGGGGTGGGGGGGGAGGGGGTGCCAACGAGTATCGAAATATCGCTCGCGTAAATTTAGAAATGATAAAACAAAAGATAGCTCGAGCAGCGAGGAACGATTTATCAAACGTAAGAGAGCAACAATTCAGTAGATGCACGAAGAGATCGGATCGATAACGGGAGGAAAATAAAGTTGGAAGAGAAATTGCGTGATCCAGAAAGTAGCGAAGGGAACGACTGTGATCTATTCCGATATCAATACATATATATTTCAGAGGCCTCTTCTCGGGAATCCGTCACGATAAATTGCGGAACTTATTTAGACAACCATTTTACTTTACCGTTAGATCAAAGAGTCGCGTTCTAGTACTTTTGTTAATCCTCATGGAAGAATAATCTTTCAAACTAAAAACGTACTGACGTCAAAGCAAAAAATCCATATGGCAGAATTTTACACAACATTAAGAAGGGAAATTTTATATTTATTTCGTGGATGCTTTATTCATAATGAAAAGTTGTACAATTTATATTCGATGTTCGCTTATTCTATTCTATTTCTGTTCTTATTCTATTTAAATTTGATAAGCTAAAAGTGATCATTCCTCTTTTCTTTCGAGAGAATACAAAGGATAATGTACGCAATCTCTTGTGCTATTTTCTCGCTGTTGGTTTTCAATCTCGCAGGAAAGATACTCGTTCAAAAGTTTTGTTTAACACTGCCGAAATTTAGACACATACGAAATGCGCACCAATCTATTTAACAAAGATATTACATATTACGATCCGTGCGTTTTCACGCAATGAAATTCTCAATACGAGAGAAATGGTAGCGCGCACAATCACAAAACAGAATACACAATGAAACGATTCGAAATCTCGGACGTAGTTTCGCATTACATTATCGATTCTCTGTGGCGGATTGATTTCATCGTCCATTCCGAAAGAATTGATATTCGTCGCGATGCTATTATTTCAGATAATAATAAGATTGGTGCACGTGCGGCAGATGGATATAAATGTCGAGTGGTCGATATCACGTGTCTTGTGTTATTATTACTATCGGTACTATTACTACTTACTCATCTTACGAACCAAACGGGATGACGCCGACGTCACGTAAGGGTGACCGACGTCTCTCGGGGTGGGCCGAGTCATCCGGGGGGTAGCTAATCGAATTAGCATTCGCGTCGCTCGGCATCGGTAGCTCGCACCGGTGCCTTTGTGGAACAACGCTCGTCGTATAAACAGACGTCTTCGACGTGACCGACTTCGATTTTTCAAGTTACACGAAAATTACCGCAGTAGCCATTTTCCCACAAAGGGGCGGGTGTTCTATGGCCATTAATTTCTCCGCTATTATTAATTGACATTCGATTCCATTTCTCACACATGACAACAAGAATTATAGAGACCATTTTTATAAATAAAATTTCTAAACGGCTCTCCCTGAACCCCAAACGAATGAAAAAGAGACTATCAGAGAGAAAAATGTTTGTACAAAAAGTACATAATATTGATTTGATTTTTAAAAATGTAATTCGCATAAATTCTCAAGCTTCATAGATCTTTAGAAAAGAATTAAGAATTATATAAAGGTATAAGTTTAATTTTAATTTAATTTTTTAATTAAATTTGAAATTTAATAGTAGATTATAATGTTTATAAAAATATTTTTAGATATTCTGTTTTTCCCTTTATATGTACATATAAATTTGAATATTGATTTTTAAAAAATCTTCAACTCGAAATACAAATAAATTTTGAT